TGATATATATATATTTGTATGTGTATTATAATAAAGTCTTATGTGAAACTACTAATCGTGTACTACGTCTACGTCTACGTCTACGTGGTTATCTTGCTCTCTACGTGCTGCTGCTAAACCTTCTCTCTACTGTTATCTACAGACCGAAGTCATCACACTTTCGCAGATTAAAGCATATTGGTGGGATCATTCGGTTTTTTTTTTTTTTTTATGCATTCGCTACCTCTACCCAGCTATCCCCAGCTGAAAAGAGAGAAGAAGAAGAAGAAAAGAAGAAGACAGAAGAAGAAGAGAAGGAGAGAAGAGAAGAAGAAGAATGAAGAGAAGAAGAAGAAGGAAGAGAGAGAAAACGTCCTTCCAATTGCGTCTTCCAGACGGAGGAGGATGGAGAAGGAAAAAAACTAACAGCAGATGCAGCGTGAAGAAGAGATTGAAGGAGAAGGAGAGAGAGAGATCTTACACGGCGAACTATTGGTTAGTACATCCTAATCACTGTATACATAGCCGAAATTCGGAAATAATTTATTTAACAGTAATCGTTCGCAAATTTTTCGTAGTTTAGCTAGCGTGGTATTTCGGAATTTCACTGTCGGGTGACCGTGCTCAAAGCGTCGAAAGGATTAGTAGCTATGCGATGAGGAGGCGGACGCCTAGTGCGCTTCAAAGTTATGACCTCAGATGTTCGCAATTTAGGAAGCCGATTCGGTGTTGTATCCTACCAACAGAGGCTGCTACGCCCACAAACTCACCATAGTAGGTAAAGGTGACGAACGAGCCAATTTCTTCACGCGCCGATATTTTTGAGTCACGATTGCAGTATCATTGGGTCGATACACGCAGCAAACCACGTTCAAATTTTTATTAAACAAAGAGGTTGGCTGATGGATATGTGTTTACATATAAGCTTATATTCGGTCCTTATCTGTTATTTATGTTTCGTCGTTTTGTTTGTTTAGTTTCTTATTGTTTCCTTTGATTAACGATGACTAACGTGTTTTAAGTGGTGAAGAGTAACCTTGTTGCCATCCTTCCCGGGCCTTTCCATGCCGATTCGGTTGAGTTACCGTTGCGACTGTCGACTTCTTTGTTGATACGGAATGAGCGCTCATTTTTACTGACAGCTGAGATCCCTCAAACTCGTGTTCAAAACGAAACTCATCGCCTTCTCTACCCAGGATTTACCATCGCTATTTCAACACGTCACGCGGTCAGGTGCCGGGCTTGTAATTACAGGCATAGAGCACACCTTTATACGAGGTAGTATGGCATGTTTGATGTTTGCAGTGTGGATAATGTTTTCAACTTTTAACGGTTTAATTGTTTTTAATGCCAAACTGTATTTTTTTGTGGGGACACAAATACTTCGAGATGGAAGGGAGAATTATTGTGTATGCAGACAGCGGTAACCGGACGTGACGCTTAGACGTCACACTAGAACATCTACATGTATAGGAGGGTTGACGAACGCGCCAAACGACAATAGACGCGGTGGCGTGCCCGCTATTCATGGTCGCACTGCGAACTGGCATCGGGGGAGATTGATTCCTGCAAGGGTCTTGTTTAGCACGACGAGTTTCAGAGCCGGTTTTGATCCAATCGTATTGCAAGCATTTGCAAAAGCGAAAAGACAGAAGATATAATGGAGAGGGGACTATTGTAGTCAGTCAGGAGCCTAGTAGCATGGTTGCTATATAGCGGGGACTGGTATTATGTATATATTATTTGTATGGTGCTAGTTATAATAAATAAAGTCTAGGTGAAAACTTACTAATGCGTGGACTTTACGTCTACGTCTTACGTCTACCGTGGTTTCTCTGCTCTCTACGCTGCTGCTGCCTAACCTCTCCTATTGATTATCTACGCAGACCGAGTCATCCACTTTCGGCAGTACAGACAATTATTATGATATGGTGCTCTGGTCGTAGGCAGGCGGTAATGCGCCCAGCGCTGACCTTTATATCCTTCGCGCGCGCATAGTAACACGATCTCCATCAATTATGTGCTAGCAACACAAGAGCAGACGGAGTTACTTGTCTAGATGCACAACACCCAGGGCGTAGGCTGAGCAAATTCTTAGGGGGGGGCAAATTCTGACTAAACTGTGTAGCGATGAGCGACGGGCGCAGCTTTCATTGGCGTCCCGATTGTTTGGGTGGGGTGCGGTCTGAGAAAGCTTCACGGATAAGTGACAAAAAAATCCGTATAGGTTATTTACGATATTTAGCTAAGTTATTTTTTATTTTGCTCTAAATCTAGGGGTGCAGCTGGCCCCTTGCCCCTCCCCACAGGCCTAGGCCATCCACCCGTATGTAGCAGACTACACAGGCTACGGCCATGCACCCCATGTAGAGACGACACAGGCTACGGCATGGCACCGCCATGTAGTGACGAACGGAAGGGGCGTCTTGCACCCGCCATGTGCAGACGACCGGAGGGGGGTTTTGCACCCGCATGTAGAGACGACACAGGAGGGGGTCCTTGACCCGCATGTACGACGACACAGGAGGGGCGTCCTGGCCGCCCGCTGCTGCACGCTGCTCGTTACGGTCCGTGAGGCCTGCTGACATTTTTAATTGATGTAGGACGTTAAATGGGACATGAAAGCCAGCATGATGATCGCAATGACAGGTGATCTTTGATCGCGATGGCGATATGGATGCCGTTAAATTGCTTTTTCGACGCTCGCTCGCGCATATATATAGGCATATATATTATTTATATATTATATATGACAGCAGGTCATTATTGCAGTTCAGCTCATCGTTTTGGCCGTTTTTCCATCCCTCCGCTTCTCTCCCTTTCTCTCCTCATCACGCGATCCCCTCGTATATGTGATTCCTTTTCTGGCGCTCGCTTGCGTGACGTCACCGAGTTATTTGTTTCTGCCTTCGTGTCGTGACATATCCACTGATGACGTCAGAAACAGGCGCAGTGACGACCGGCACAGCGGGCCTTGCTTGCCGGCATCTGTTGCTTGAACTGATGAGCGCAACTTGCGTGACTTGTTTCGTTAGCTATAGCAGACATGCGTGCGTGTGTGTGCTAGCTGCGCGCAGTATGGCGCTGCCCGTGTGTTGCGTGGCGTTAGCTTACGTGTCTGTGCGTGTGTGCGTTGCGACGTGCCTGTACGTGTCTGTGTGCGTGGCGTTGCGTGTGTTGGTGTCTGTGTGCGTGTCTGTGTGCGTGCGCGTTTCGTTGTGCGTGCTGTGTGGTGGGCGTTGGTGTGTGCGTGTCTGTGTCGTGTGGTAGGTGTGTTGCTCACGTGTGCGTGGGTGCATTTACGGTGTAGAGAGGATTACTCTTTGTGAAATAAGCGCTGCGGTTTTTTATATTTAAAGGGCGCGCGTGGATAATCAGAAAACATTTTTTCGACGAATAAATAATGTAAGCCCGCCGCTCGCTGCCTCTGAAATGTGTTACTGTCTGGGCAAAGCTCGCTGCTCAAGGCGTTATTGTATTTTCCGATTTTTTTTCCATATAAAATATGCGTTTATCTGCCAGTAGTTTGTACAGCTTCTTGACTCTAGCGGAGCGTTCAATTCATTCGTGCGGCTATTGCCTGCGATCGTTGCTGCGATTGGTTAGTTGTAGAGTGCTCGCTGTGTGACATTAGGCTCGAAATTCACTATAGCAAATCGCGCGGTGTAGAGAGACACGGAATTAAGGCGGAAGGAAACAGGGGAGCGGGAACATTCAGAGAGAGAGAGAGAGGGGGCGATAGACGCGAGAGAGAGGTGGAGGGACAGAGAGACAGTTGAGTGGTGGAGAACGAGAGAAACGAGGGGAGTAATTGAGAAAGTGATGGGATTAGAGAAGCGAAGAATAGAGAAGAAATCGCGAATCGAAAGACAGGGGCAGGGTGAGAGAGGGCTGGAATTTGTTGGGACTGATTTATTGAGCGATCTGTGTGAAATTTACTTCTGGTTTATTGTATTTTTCATTCATTTTGTTATTATTGTCGTAGTTTTTTACAACCAGGCTTTTTCGCTTATCATTGCCGTGCACATAACAGTGTTGGTAGTTAAAGGGTTTATATATATATATTATATTTATATAGCAATTCCTCTTTTAACTACCACATCTGTTGTCGCATATTTTAGATAGTGGATACAATAACATTCGCACAAATCGAGACATGGTAATTCCACATAGATTGCTCAATGCTAATATTACTATATATATATTTATTATAGATTCCAATGCGTTGTTTATGAACTTCGTGTTGTCGAGGTGCCCAATAACAATGAGGAGCGCAAATATAGATTAAATTAACGGACACGGTGTATATTTGACTCTGTTTTATTGCATGCAGAATGTTTCGTATGGAGTGCCTACACAGAGTTGATCTAGTTAGAACTTTCCCGGAGGTTGTATAAAAATCATGCATATGTGATCTATTGTTCGTATTCATGCATGCGCGGTTCTAAAGATTACATAGATACTAATTTAGGCGTCATTGTCGGTGGACTGGCGGCGCGCTGGCGGTAAATGAATTCATTGTAGAGTTCACATAACTTCCTTTAATTAAATTTTTTTATTATATATATTATATAGAGAGAGGAGATATTTAAAGAGAAGGAGGGAGAGAGAAGAGAGAGAGAGAGAGAGAGAGAGAGAGAGTATATTATTTGTTAATCTATATCGTCGCTGGTATTTTAGGAGGATTTTCAACACGGTAAGAGCTATGCGTTGAATACTTTCATCTACTATCCACGCATCCCTCTCACGACGTGTGTCAGCCAATCATGTCAGCCACTCATCTCGCTGGAGTCGGATCGAGAATTCTGGCCGTGTATATATAGCTGTGTTTGTGTGTGTGCGTGCGTGCGTTGCCCGTGCGTGACGCGGCGTGGTGCGGTGCAGTTTGCGTGCGTGCGTGCTGTGCGTGCGTGCGTGCGTTTGCGTGAGTGGTCGCGTGCGTGTGTACTTGCGTGTTGCGTGGGTACGTACGTACGTGTGTCGTGTGTGTGTGTGTGTGTGTGTGTGTGTGTGTGTGTTATGTGTGTGTGTTGTGTGTGTGGTGTGTGTGTGTGTGTGTGTGTATGCTGCGTGTGTGCGCGCGCGCGCAACGTAGTGTTGTTATGGTGTGTGGTTTATGCGCGCGGGTGTGTGTGCATGCGTGCGCAATTATCGTGCGTACGTGCGTGTATTGCGTACATGGAAATATTTATGTTTACAGTTTTGTTATATTCGCTCGGCGACTCAGATTTAGAAGCCTTAGTATGAGACATCCTTGAGAGTAAAAAAATGTCAATTATTTACGCGCGCACACACCACACACACACACACAAACACACACACACACCACCACACACACACACACACACACAGCACACCACACACACCCACACACACACACCGTACACACACACACCACACACACCAACCACACACACACACTCACACACCTCAGCACACACAACACCAGCACACACAACACACCACACACCACTCACACACACACACACACACAACACCACACACACAAACACACACACACACACACACACACATATTAATTATATATTACTAGTCTATATACTATATATATGTCGGCTTCACGCATTGCGAGGCGGCTGGCTCCCTGTACTATCAATGTTCATGCTTTGCTGCGCTTGCATATTTCATCGTGTCTTCATCGTAGTAACGATAATCACCTTCATAACGCAAGCGGTTGTATCGCTAAATTTATTAAGAGAGTTCCTAAGGCACTCCTCAGTCATACTCGAATAATACGTACAACCATTCATCATGCATCCATCATTCCACCATCCATCCTCATCCACCCATCATCCATCCATCCATCCATCCATCCATCCATATCCATCTATCATCCTCCATCCATCATCTCCATCATTCCATCCATCATCCATCCATCCATCCATCTTATCCTTCATCTCACCCATCTATCATCCATCCTCCATCCAGTCACATCCTCATCCATCCATCCATCATATCATCGATCCATCTATCCATCATCTATCCATCCATCCATCTCCATCCATCATTCCATCCATCCATCCCTCCATCCATCCATCCATCATCCATCCATCATTCATCCATCAATCCTCCATCCTCCATCCATCATTCCATCATGTCACCCCCACCATCTCATCCATCATCACTCCACCATCGATCCATCCATCCATCATCATTTCTCAGTCATCATCACCCATTCATCCATGATCCATGCATCCATGCATGCATCCATCCATCATATTCATCATCCATCATCCATCCATCATAATTCATCCATCATCCATCCATGTGTGTCCATCCATCATCCTCCATCCATCATCTCATCCATCCATCATCTCCATTTTTCATCCATCATCCATCCATCCAAGCATCATCATCTATTCATCCATCCATCCATTAATCATCCTCCATCCATCGCATGCATCAATCCATCATTCATCATCCAACCCCACCCACCCATTCACCCATCCATCATCATCTATCCAACTCCATCATCATCCATCCATCCATCCATCATCCAATCCATCCATCCATCCACCCATCCATCTATCCATCCATCCATCCATCCATCCATCCATTCATCCATCCACCCACCCACCCATCCATCCATTTATCTATCTACCCATTCATCTATCCATCCAGCCATCTATCCATCCAGCCATCCAGCCATCAATCTATCCATCCATCTATCCACTCATTTATCTATTCATCCATTAATCCATACATCTATCCATCCAGCCATCTATCCATCCAGCCATCTATCCATCCAGCCATCCAGCCATCAATCTATCCATCCATCTATCCACTTATTTATCCATTCATCCATCAATCCATCCATTTATCCATCCAGCCATCCATCCATCCATCCATCTATCCATTTATCCACCCATCCATCTATCTATCCATTCATCCATCCATCCATTTATCCATCTATCTATACGTCCATATATACATACAGGACGGACGGACAGACGCACGGACAGGCAGACAGACAGACAAACGGGTAACCTCGTCTAAATTTGAACGGCGATAATTAGAAACGCCCTGAAACGCGGTGTTTTTGGTGGCGGTTAATTGGATCACTGCTACGCTTGCACGATGGTATCACTTCATCTATGTCGCTTTTTTTTTGCTTCTCTGATCTGCTACACACTCTTACATGACTCGCACCTCCTCCCACTTTCCTTTCCTTTCTTGCTTTTCCATCTATACCCACGCACCCACAACACACGCACGTACGCGCGCACGCACGCACATGCACGCACGCACATGCACGCACGCGTGATCTCTGTTGTAATTTCCCAGCAGGTTTTCATCCACTTCGCCGCGCGCGACTTTCTTAATATCGCGACCCCGGCGATACTCTCGCTAAAAGCATCTTGAACAAATTATTAGCCTTTCGTTGCGTCGGCAGAGTATCTGCTTTATAAGCGACGTTATATGCGTCATCGCCGGGCACGCACATCGCATGCGTGTCCTTGCGATCCCGCTGACCGCAGTGGCGCCACCATGCGGTGATCAGTAGCTCCAACGCACTCGCGTTTTTCGCGCGTAGATTTTCACCGCGCTGCTACATACATCTGTACGTTTTCTCGCCTAGACATGCCCTCAGTCGTTATGGCTAACTCATCGCTACTAAATTCTATACAATAGTACACTGTAATAGAAACTGTATAAGAGACGTTAGCAAAGATAGAGAAGATTCAGTAAGTAAATCGACCGCGCTGTAGGTTGAACTAGAAAACGATGGGAAAGTGGCGAAGTTGCACTCACTGAATTGGGTAGAACTAGAGCTATAGTGCTACAATAAACGAGTAGACTGTTATAGAGATAATGCTACAGAGCAAGTAGAATGTAGTGAGTGGGGCTGACACACCGTATCGCCTCTTGCAGAAACAGCAACTGGGTGAAGACACCGCCAAGCAACAACGTCACATACTGGGGATACTTCGAGTACTACAACTGGCTGGATGAGAAGAAGATCGAGCGGTTCCAGCACTATACGAAGTACGGCGAGTTCTGGTTCGTCTGCGAAACACGCGGACGCAACAAGGTGAAGGTGAGTGTCGCACACAGACGATATTATGTAGTTTGCCTCTCTGCCGTGTTCGGTGGGTATTTTGCTATTATTTTCTAATTCTGTTCCCCTGTGTGTTACTAACATTACATCGAGTATTTTCTGGAATCACATCCTGTGGAATCACACTCCGTAGTGCTGACTGAGGTGTGTTGTTGTAATATAATTATGGATTTCCTCTCTGGTAATTGCTAATATGGAGTCACATTTTCTGGAAATTTCTATAATCCATTGGAATCAAACTCCATATTGCTGGTTCATGTCTCTTGTTCCGATTTTGCGGCATTGACTTTTGCAAACGTGGTGTCATCTATTTTCTGGACATTAACCTTGTTAAGTCACACTGTGTTAGTATTTACCCAGACTCCTCATCCCAATATTTTTATCGATTATTTATGCCCCTTACCATTGTAACCTCGCAGCAAGCACTGCATAATTAGTTCGCGCTGTTTATTATACTCATAATCATCAATACTACAATTAAATGATAAATGATTACTGTTTACAGTTTATAATATCGCCTGTGTTAGCCTTCACTAATCTCCTCCTCCCCGGGGTTTCTCCCCTTCCTCCTCTCCCCGCAGAAAGCTGACGAGGTGCGAGCTTACTACCCGGTCATCACGACGCCTCTTGCTAAACCTTACGACGTCTGCAACCCGACGACGACGACCGATGCCATAGAAACGACGACGCCCGTCGACGTCGTGCCGACCGACGACACGCCCGCCTTCGCCACCGTCGCCTCGCCGTTCGGCCGCGCAACGACAGCGGCGCCACCGTCGCGCCGGAACCGGACGGAGGGCGGCGACCGCGGGGTGGCGCGTCAGCCGCCGCCGCAGTACACGGAGAAGATCGAGCGACCGAAGCCACCCGACGGTGGCGCCGCCGCCGACACAACCAAAGTGCCGCACGTTAAGAGCACCACTTTCCCGGAGATGCTTAACAACGCAATATACAAGGACCTTAACGGCACGCCGGCGCGAGGGGGCGCCAGCGTCGCGCTCGTCGCGTCGTGCGTCGTCGGTGTGCTCCTGCTGGCGATGGTGGCGGCACCTGGCGGCGGCCTGCAGCGATAGCCAGGGCAGCGAGCTGGAACACGTCAAAGGCAGGCCGCATCGCCACAGCCCTGCCACACCTCAATGTGATACTTAGAGGGCTAAGATTAGGGGGAGGCGAGCATGGAGAGACAGAGAAGTGGTAGAGAGAAAAGGAGAGAGAGAGAGAGGGGGAGCATAGGAGCTGCGTTGCAGCACAACCGGATATAGAGGTCAGCACTGTCTCTCTACGCCGTGGGAACGAAACGACCGACACAGTACATACACACATGCGCGCACACATACACGCGCACGCACACACACACACACACACACACACACACACACACACACACACACGCGCTCACACACGCGCGCACATACACGCTCGCGCGCACACACACACGCTCACACACACACGTACACGCACGCGCGCGCGCAATGCACACAAATCACACACACACACACACACACACACACACACACACACACACACACGTGCACGCGCTCACACACGCGCGCACATACACGCTCGCGCGCACACACACACGCTCACACACACACGTACACGCACGCGCGCGCGCAATGCACACAAACACACACACACGTTACGCACGCATGCACGCACGCATGCACGCACGCACGCACGCACGCACACACACACACACATAGACTCACTCACACACACTTACACACAAGCATCTTTGTTTGAAGCCACTGTGATCGCGAGGTGGACAGCTTAGAGGTTGATAGATGGAGCCACCCGCGTTTTGTCTATCGATCTCTGCATCCGTAAGACCTTTTGCCTGTTTACATTATAACAAAAATGCTAATAAGTTCGTACGATTACGAGACAGCTATTAGCAAAATCGACATTTTGAAACAATTGAAAATCGTGCTAGAAAGCGAGGTTATATACATCTAGAATGCTATTCGGGACCCCCGTTTGACTTCACAGTGTAGACTGACACCAAAGATGATTGACAATCGACTTGCTGCTCCGGCAGACAGTCATACAGGGACCTCTGGCGTCAGTCTACTCTATATTCAACGTGTACATAGTTAGACGGCCGAGCGCGGTATTAGCCACCACGTAGGCTCAGTGCTTTAACAGCAGTAGGAGAAGTCTCATGCACGTCGGCGAGCTGTTCACGCGGGGGGGGGGGCGCTGCGGTCAATTTTGTTTGAGTAACGTGTAGAGTGTGATTCGGTGGCCGTGTGTGCAACGCGCGAATTCGTCGCCGAGGAAACGTATATACACGAATCCCTTAATCGGAAACTTTGCTATATGGGGTGGCTTCGATTCACTGTCTATTCTTGTTACACAAGATGGCGCCGATGAAAACAATTGTATTATACTGACAACTTATTGTGCCTTTGTACTATTGTTGCTTGTGTTCTTTGTAAAATGTGGACGGAGTGCATGCATATTATACAAAAATTGGTTAATGGGAAACTACTAGAACCAATATTAATTTGATTTGAATAAACGACATTTAATTCTTGCTTCCTGATCACGGAAGCATTAGACGAGTGCGGTAAACGACTTGCTGTATATAGAAAATAATTTTGTTTGACCTCATGTAGATGGCGCTATTGTAGGTGTGGGTCAAACGGAGTTTTTTCTGAGATGACTTTTATATAACGATAATATATAAGACATGATGTTAAGGTGACACACTTTACTGAAACTGTAAATAAATTCAATATTTTACGATTTTATCCGTTGCTTCTACCATTTTTATTCGCAGATCTGTCATCGCAAGGTCACTGCGTTCTAATCGGTATAAGTTACCGTATAAGTAATGTTCTCATCGTTTTCCGAAACGCGCTTCAGATTTGACAAAGAACCAACGTTGCCATGGGAACAACTAGCATCCGGCGATATCGGGGAGACTATATTCGAACTCTTGTCGGTGCCTTTGTCGCCTGCGCGTGTCGTGGTTAATTTCTACACCGGTATTAATTAGCACATATGAGTTAAGCACTGTAATTAGAACGCTGCCTGGATCGGAACGCTATAGCTTTGTCGTCCACATATTAACTCTTTACTTATAATCGCCGACAGTCATTTTGCAGCTCGGTGGTGAGTGGGGAAACAAGCGAGCCACGTACAGTGTTTTGTACGGCCTGTGTGGGGAAAGGGAAGGGGAGGGGAGGGAGGATTGACTCTTCTCGCTTTCATGTTTTTCGCCTAGTGATTACGTGCGCGCGTGTGCGTGTGTGCGTGCATGCGCGTGCGCGATTGTTACGGGGGAGGGGTTGGCTTTTCTAGTGCGCAGCTTCCTGTTAAGCAATCTAGGAGGATTGCCTAGGGATGTCTGCGTGTGCGTGTGCGCGTGCGCGTGCGCGTGTGCGTGTGCGTGTGCGTGTGTGCGTGTGCATGTGCGTCTTCGTCTGCGTCTGCATGGGCGTGTGTGCGTGTGTACGTGTGTGCGTGTGTCCGTGCGTGTGTGTGTGCGTGCGTGCGTGCGTTCGTGCGTGCGCGCGCGCGCGTGTGTGTGTGTGTGTGTGTGTGTGTGCGCGCGCACGCGCGCGCGTGTGTGTGTGTGTGTGTGTGTGTGTGTGTCGCGCGTCGTGTGTGTGTGTCGTGTGTCGTGTGTGTCGTGTCGTGTGTCGTCGTGTGTGTGTGTGTGTGTGTGTGTGTGTGTGTGTGTGTGTGTGTGTGTGTGTGTGTGTTGGAGGTAGGGTATTGCCTCTTCTAGGTTGATGTTGCCTAACAATGTGTATGCATGATAGAAGGAAAAGGAGGCTTTGACCCTTTTAGCTTGCGGTTTGCTGCCTGGTTAGGCGGGGGAGGGGAGTGCTGCGGACCACTTGTATAGCTAGCAATTGTCGACGTCTGTCTAGCGATGTGATGGAAGGGAGTTCGCCGTGACCCTTTAATCTAACGTGTCGATGCGGGTGCGCAGAGGTAGAGTGCGCTCGTGTTTGAACTCGCAGTACACTGTCTATAGCCGGCCCCGCTTGCTAATTACTTACAATCAACAACCTGTCTGACACAAGCGATTGGAAAATGCGAAGGTTTCATTCATTCACACTACGATGACATTCACTCTTGATGTGCGCCTATCAACTTATGCATTACATCATCCGATGACATCGCGCATTCCAGATCATTGTGTGTATCGCATCAACTACTAGCACGATCCACATGCATGTGCTATAGAATAGCTCATCTATCGCGGATTATATATTCTATAATCGACGTGTAAAACCTATGCACACGTCACGGGTAACCCGAGATAGTCACCGGTCTGAACGTTGAAGGTTCTCAGTTGCAAGATGCATGTGAGGCCTCTTCTACCATCTTCACGCCTAGTATATGTAATGTAGTACGCAGGAACGTGTAAACCCCTTTCCCACTTCATCTAGAATTCAGCTTGGCAGTATAATAATCTGAAATCATATCTGCCAATTTTGCTGCTTTTACCACAAATCCCACAATTTTTTCACATATCTGCCCCCACGGCTGTAGTACTCTGAAAATTGCGGCTCGTACAGCACCATGACTGATCAGGGGCGTAGCTACCATAACGCAGATACGCAGTTGCGTACACATCATTTTACCAAACTTTTTTTTCAGAGAAAGAGAGAGAGAGAGAGAGAGAGAGAGAGAGAGAGAGAGAGAGAGAGAGAGAGAGAGAGAGAGAGAGAGAGAGAGAGTAGTAGTAGTAGTAGTAGTAGTCGTACGTAGTAAGTAGTAGTACGTACGTAGTAAGTAAGTAAGTAAGTAAGTAACGTTAACGTAACGT